TGAACATTGTGTGTTCGGAAAGCAGAAAAGAGTCAGCTTCAAATCTCCAGCGATTCATAGAACAAAAGGTACTTTGAATTACATTCATTCAGATCTGTGGGTCCTTCACGTACCCCATCAAAAGGTGGTGCCATGTATATGTTAACTTTCATTGATGATTATTCAAGGAAAGTTTGGGTTTATTTCCTGAAAAATAAAAGTGATGTTTTCTTAAATTTCAAACAATGGAAAGTTTTGATTGAGAAGCAAAAAGGAAAACAGGTTAAGCGGCTTAGAACAAATAATGGCTTGAAATTTTGTAATGATGAATTCAACAAATTTTGAAAGAATGAAGGAATTGCTCAATATCGTACTGTGAGAATGACACCTCAGCAAAATGGTATGGCAGAAAGGATGGATAGAACTCTTTTGGAAAAGGCTCGTTGCATGATTTCAAATGCTGGGTTGACAAACGCTTTTTAGGCAGAAGCTATCTCTACAACTTGTTATATTGTCAACCGAGCTCCTTCTGCGCCTTTGAAGTTTAAGACTCCAGAGAAAATGTGGTCAGGTACTCCTGCTAATTATTCCGATTTAAAGATATTTGGTTGCCCTGCATACATGCATGTAAATGATAGAAAATTAGAGTCAAGGGCTAAAAAGTGCATTTTCCTTGGGTATGCATCTGGGGTGAAAGGATACCGACTATGATATCCTGATCCCACGACACCAAAATTTATAATTAGCAGAGATGTAACCTTTAATGAATCCTCTATGTTACATTCTAGAAAAGAGTCTTATAGTTCTTGTAATACAAATAAAGGAAAGAGTACACAGAACCATGTGGAGATTGAGATTGGCATTCCTTCTGAGCCAAGCTTATCAACTTTGGAGCAAAATACAGTTGAAACTCCTGAAGTTGAGACAGAAGCTGAAATTCCTGAAGTTGAACCAAAAGAAGAGGAGTATTCTATAGCCAAACATAGACCAAGAAGAAAAGGTAAACAACCATTAAGATTTGGAGATTATGTTGCATTTACTTTTTCAGTTGCACAGGAAACTGAAGAAATTGGAGAACCATCAAAATATTCAGAAGCAGTTTCTGGTACTGACTCATCCAAGTGGTTGATTGTAATGAATGAAGAAATTGAGTCACTCCACAAGAATGGTACTTAGTCTCTTGTGAAGCCGCCATCAGGAAAAAGAATTGTTGGTTGCAAATGGGTCTTCAAGAAAAAAGATAGCATTCCAGGGGTTGAAGATGCGAGGTATAAAGCACGATTAGTTACAAAGGGCTATAGTCAGATACAAGGAGTTGATTTTAATGATATTTTCTCACCTGTTGTTAAACATAGCTCTATTTGTGTCTTGCTTTCCTTCGTTGCCATGTATGATTTGGAATTAGAACAACTTGATATTAAGACAACTTTCTTACATGGCGAACTTGAGGAATAAATATACATGCATTAACCCGGAGGATTTGAAATTGAAGGAAAAGAAGATCATGTTTGCTTGTTGAAGAAATCCTTGTACGGATTAAAGCAGTCTCCAAGACAATGGTATAAAATGTTTGATTCCTTTATGTTGGGTCATGGTTATTCGAGGAGCATGTACGATAGTCGTGTTTACTTCCGGAAGTTAAATGATGGTTCATTTATGTATCTATTATTATATGTTGATGACATGCTCATTGCTGCTAAGGATTTAACAGAAATTCACAATTTGAAAAGTCAGCTGAAAAGTGAATTTGAGATGAAAGATTTGGGAGCAGCTAAGAAAATCCTTGGCATGGAGATCAAAATAAATCGAAAAGCCAACAGGCTATTTCTGACCCAGAAGAAGTACTTGGAGAAAGTCTTGGAGAGATTTGGCATGAAAGATGCTAAACCAATTAGTACCCCTCTTGCTGCTCATTTTAAGTTATCAGCTGCTCAGTCTCCGCAGTCAGAGGAAGAAGAGAGGTACATGGCACAAGTTCCTTATTCCAGTGCAGTCTGCAGTATTATGTATGCAATGGTTTGTACACGTCCAGACATTTCACAAGCAGTGAGCGTGGTAAGCCGGTATATGGCTTGCCCTGGTAAAGTACATTGGCATGCTGTGAAATGGATTCTCAGATACTTGCGAGGTACTTCAAACACATGTTTGGAGTTTGGGAGAAATACTAACACTTTGGTTGGTTTTGTAGACTCAGATTATGCAGGTGATCTTGACAAAAGAAGATCACTGACAGGCTATGTATTTTGCATCGGTGGTTGCGCTATTAGTTGGAAAGCTATATTACAACATGTAGTAGCATTATCTACTACCGAAGTAGAATATATGGCAGTGACCGAGGCGATCAAAGAAGCTTTATAGTTGAAGGGTCTATTTGTGAAACTCAGTTTACACCAATATAGTATTACCATTTTCTGTGATAGGCAAAGTGCCATTCGCTTGACTAAAGATCAAATGTATCATGAGAGGACGAAGCACATTGATATAAAGTATCATTTCATCCGAGAAACTATTGCTGAAGGAAAAGTCTCTGTTAAGAAGATCAACACTAGAGACAATCCTGCTGACATGTTCACAAAACCTCTTCCAGTGTCCAAGTTCAAGCTTTGCCTGAACTTGATTGATATTTATGAAGAATGATTTTGCCCATTGGGTTTTTTGCGGAGAAGGTGGAGCAAATTTACTATATATAAGTCGAAATTATGCCAAGGTGGAGATTTGTAATATGACTAAATTTTCATGACATTTACCATGACATAATATCCATTATAACAAAATTTGTGGATCATGACATTTGCCATGACATAATATCCATTATTAGGCCAAGGATTTCTTGCTATAAATAGAGGAGTTTCTCCTCATTTGTAAACACACCAATTCAAGAGCTTTTCACTCTTGTCTTTCTTTCTCCTCCTTTATTTCATTATAGAGTATTTTGTAAGAGAGTGAGTGTTGGGAAACACTTGTGTGAACCCTTTCTTTGGAGTGATCTTGTGAGGTTATTCTCTTGGGGTATTTGGGATTAATTAGAGTATTTACTCTAATTTTGTACTCTCTTTTGTACTCTTGTTGGTATAGTAAAATTGCTCATCTCCACTTGTGGACGTAGGTCACCTTGACCGAACCACGTTAAATTTGTGTCTTCTTTATCTTCTTTAATTGCCGTTATTATCAACTTGCATTGTCTTTGTTATTGTCATTATAACGTTGTTTGGCTAAATTCCGCACTACCCAGTAACCCGATCCTAACATCAATTAATCCATTTAGACCAGCAAGAGAAGCTCTAACATCATGATTTGCAAGAGCAAATGCAGTGCTTTTGTTCATACTCTTCCTTTCTGCTTGTTGAGTTGCTTCCATTTGCTTTATTAATGCAGCACACAAATACATTTCCCTTGTTGCTGCTCTTATCGTTAGTCCCACAAAAGTGAATATATGGACACAGCCAATGCAATCATCATTAAGATGATTAGCATGAATCCAACTTTAATGTTCTTGTGAAAATGGCTTTGGAGGTGATCTTGAACATTGGCTGACATATACACCTGGAATTAAACCATATACATTTATTTTAAAAAGTTTGACTTCAATGCACTGACATATTATATTTTTTTTAACTATTAATTACAGTTTACTTGTTATAACATGTTGAAATACACTTTTAGTGTAAATTTTCTTTACACGGGCAGCGTATATAACTATTAGTGTTACCAATATTTTCAAATTTCCCTATCATTCTTAACCGGTTTGTCCTCTATGATCCAAATAGACAACAATATATCATGTCTCAGTCCAATCTAGTTGAAATCTACAAAATCCTCATTATCTCATGTCGCACCATTTAAACTCCTTTAAATCCATACCCTATGACTCATAGGCCATAAGGGAACAAGATTTTCATATCTACGAAAAATTAGACTTAAAGTTTATTAAACCACACACGAATGTCATATCTACTTTCGTTTAATTAGCATCCAATTATTTTACGACACATTTAGTAATTGTTTGAAACATCTGAAATTTTTTCATGCAATAACTTTCTAGCTAAAGAACCATCCTCAAAATATTAGAACTGAATAGAACCTTTTTTTCTCTTTTATTCTTTTATTTTACTCCTTTTTTGGGGTGGGGGTTGAGGGTAGAGTGCAAATTAAATATGTATGTGAATTGAATGTGAAAATAGTACGGGCTAGTCAGTTTTCGGACTAGTAATTGAAAAATAGTCAGCGTTTGCAAAGTCATTGAAAAATAGTCGCTATTTTGCTGCAACACGGAAAGTTCCAGCATAATATACTGGAGATTGGAGCACCTATGTATGAAGTATGAACTTCCAGCATATTATCCTGGACCAGTATATTATACTGGAACTCCAGTATATTATGCTGAAAGTCCAGTATATTATACTGGAAGTCTAGTATAATAGAACTCCAGTATATTATGCTGGAATATTTTTCGAATTTTGAACAGTGTTTTCGTTAAGATAATTTATCTTTACATGAAAAGTAGCTAAATTTCGATTACTTTTAAAACTGTGACTATTTTTCAATTACCACTTGTAAATCTGACTATTTTGAATTTCACCAGAATTGAGACCAATTTAAATTCTATTCAATAACGATATAAAAAGATAGATGAAAGACGGTACCTTAATATCGCCTTCAACTCTTTTTACCCTATTGATCCAAAATGCTATCAATACAACATGTACCAATAGCATTACGAATGACTGCATTAGATAAGTATCCAAGCACAACACATTTGTCAGCTAATTAGATTTGTTTTTGTTAAATATTAAACTGACCATTAAATATTTTAGCACTAGAAAATTTACCAGAACTAAGCAGAAACAAACAGGCCTTGGCACTTTAAATGAGCTTAGCTTCATCACTTGATATTATGTATCAGCGTACCTTTTTCTGTAGATATCTTCATAAGTTAATGCAGACAAGATCATGTATAAATACAACTTACCTCTACTTGTTTAACTCAATGCAGTTAATTTTCCTAAGTCCATGCCTTTACCATATATATCACAAAGACAATCAAGNAAAAAAAAGTTTGAGCCTTTTAATCATTTTGAAACAAAAAATTAAATTGTTCAGAGAGTACATGACTTTAATTATTTCTCGCAATAGCATCTTTAAGAAGAAAATAAATTGACTTCTCAAATGAAATTAAAACTATCAAATTTGACATATTTTATATAGTGCATAACAATGGTGCAGGAATGAATTGCTCAAATATTGAGAATTTCGGGTTTTTTTATAATATGATTCAAATAGAAAAAGGAAATGCAGCTTATAGTTGGCAAAACTGGTGGCGAGAGGACCAAAAAAATAAAATTAAAATAAAACCAAAGATGTGATTCATTAAATGTCAAATATATCCTTTCCTTTTTTTACAAATGCAGAGTGATTTGTTGGTCCCACGCAAAATCATCCAAGAAGAAACAAAGGAAAGGAGAAATAATACGAAAGGCATTGGAAATCTATTTAAAGGAAAAAAAAAGGAGATCAATGATCATTCATGGTGGAATTTTTTCATTTTCTGTGACGACTGTAGTCTCCAAATCCCATTTCTTGCAGTGATAAAAAATAGTAGTAAGATAAATATACGCAGTTTTTTCCCTTTCATCAAAAGTTTAGAATAAATTTTCTTACAAATACTGTCACAAGAAAAACAAAAAAACAAAATAAATAAATTCGTGCGAAATATGAATTGAATATCTCATATCGCAATCTACAGTCCGAAAAAAGTTGAATAGATAATCAAATCAACCAAAAAAGAATAAAAAATTAATCACAAGCAATAACCTAGCTCTAATACCATATTGATATCGTGAACAAAAATTTATGAGAAATGAACTTGAGCTGAGCTCTACTCGGTCTCAAAATTTTAAAGGACTGACTATAAAAGTATTATTTTGCAGCACTATGTGGACAGAGCAATGGCGAATGCCGATAAATGTAGTAACTCAAACAAAACTCAAATCAACACTAATGCTAACAAAAGAAATTCAATTCAATAATAGGAATGACGATAGTGTTGGATAATTATTTTAGTTTTATATTGGTTTATAATGAAAATGCATAACTTAGTTTATCTTTTTTTTAGTGCTTAGTTATGAAATTAATATTAGTACTTATTAGCTGTTGCGACCAAACACACTCATGCATGTATACGCGGTCGTCAAGTAATAGAGTAGTGAATAAAGTATCGTTCTCACGAAGACTTATGATTAACTTTTGACTAATTCAAACTCAAATAGCTTATCGATTCAAGCGATTTCTTACAAAATAGATAATTTTTTAATTTACTACCTAAAAACTATCAAGTAATAAAATACTAGAAATCAACCACAACACTTAAATAGTTTTGAATAACAATCACTAGGAGATAATATTCCATGGTCACGGGTTATCTAACAATCATGTTGCATTCTTAGCTTAAAATAACTAATTGATTTATCTGGATTGTTGATTGACAGGGTTGATATTACTCATAAGAATCTGTCGAGTCCTTACTCGCCTATTCAAGCTAACTTAATACCTATATGTCTATGGAATTAAGATTAACAAGAACGCATTTAAAATTCCTGTATTACAACCGAGCAAGGCAATTAGGTATATGTCTATCCTAATTGCGAATCCATTCTCCGATGCCCGGGTTTAAGAACTTGCTCTATTTAATTCTATATGCAATCTAGAGTTCCCACTTTCGAGTTCAACTCTAGATTCGTAGATCGTATTTCACTGTTAGCTACTCAGCAAAATAATTAAAAACAGAATTAAATAAACAGCCCAATATGACAAAATCAACTTCGTCATATTAAACTTCAAACATAAATATTCATGTATACCCATGACCCTAGAACAATAGGGTTTTTAGCCACTCATGTTCAAACAATCATCAAAAAATAATGTTTTCAAACATAAAATCAATGAATACTAGGAAAGGGATGGAAGAATTGATCAAATCCTTGCTTCCGAGTGTTTGGCGCCTCCCTCTTCTCTCTAAATCACGTCCTCCCCTCAAAAATAGGTTTAGGTTGGCATTTATATGAGTTGGGGGCGTCTAAGGGTCGAAATAACCGAGTCCTAGTCGAAAAAGGACACTTTCCCGTCTTGAGCGTCCAGGGCAGTGTGGGGCCCTGGCCCTGGCGCTCAAACATTTTGGCTTCTGTAAATTGCGCCGCAGCCAGCGCCCCACGCTGGCTGTGGCCCTCAAATCTCCCTTATTGCGATTTTGTCCCAATTTTGCTCCAATTCGCGCCCTTTCGTCCCAAATTGCATCAGAATGATTCATACACATAGAAATACCAAAATTTAGCACAAATAATCATATTAAATATCTCAAATCGTCGAGACATGAGTAAAATATGAGGCGATATATATCAAAATATGTATACATTAAGCCGATTATCAACACCCCACACTTAGACTCTTGTTCGTCTTCGAGCAATGGAACTATATTAGCACCCCCAAAACGTACTTAGCACTACGAAAGAAGACCTCACAATTAACTCAATCAAACACCCTACCTTTTGACTATGATCGATGTCGGCAATTAAGCATGAACACACAAATTTCACATTCTTTCCGTTTTTAAATAGCCCAAGTATACTCAATGTTTTTCAACCAACTCAATCAACTCAAGCAACCTCTCCACAACCACCTTACCTCAAGAGACGACTCGTTACCACTAAGCATCCTCAACACACGCACTCACCCAACACAAGAAAGTGTATAATTTCACCAATCCGTCATGAGATCAAGTGCCCTCACCACAAGCAAAAGAGTGAATATCAAAGTAGTCCACAAATTTAAATATGTCATTGAACATAAATTAAGGACATCACACAATTGAACAACATTCACTCACTCTCACAAAGAATTCATGTGCATCCCGTGGTCGTACCATAAGCTTGCCCGTAGTATACATCTCTACTAATCTAAGCTAGCTAAATCTAGGATCAATTAGGACTTTAAGGTTGTAATGTAGGCTAAGGGACGGGTAGGATACATTTAGGAATAGTGACTAACCCTCCTAAGCACTTTAATACACTACACTCATAGCCCATTCACTTGTCATACACCATTCACTTTAATACACTACACTCTCAACCCATTCACTTGTCATACACCATAACTAACATAGCCCACTTTTCCATCAAGCACCTCTATGGATTCACTAGCACAAGTGAGAAAGATTAGGAGGTGTGTATCTTTCTACATTATTTGAACTTTTATTTTCTTTTTCTTGCAAAATTTTTCCTCTTTTTTTTGTCCCCACACACTCCATACATTGAAGTTCATAAGCTAGTGACCTTTATTCACAATTTTAGTGCACCTTAAGGGCCCTTCCATGGTTCCACTCGAAAGCCACTTCCT